GCCCTGGGTTCGATTCCTCAGCACCACATAAGCAAAAAGAAAAAAAGCGGGAAGTGGCGCTGTGGCTCAAGTGGTAGAGCGCTAGCCTTGAGCTGAAGACCTGAGGGACAGCGCCCAGACCCAGAGTTCAGACCCTACGACCGGATCCCCCCCCCAAAAAAAAAAGAAAATCCAGCCAGGCACCCATGATTCATGCTTATAATCTTAGCTGTTTAGGAAGCTAGTTTCTTAGCACTTCAATTTGGATCCAACCTAGGCAGAGAACCTCCAAATCTGTCTTCAGTTAGTTAACCAGTAAAAAGGCAATAGTGAAGATGTGGCTTAAGTGGTAGGGCTTCAGCCCTCAGTGAAAAAATTGATAGCTCAAAGCCTATTTTCAAGCCCCAACACTGACAGAAAAATGAATAGAAAATAAAAATGAAAAAGAAATTTGGTTTTGTTTCTTTTCTTTTCTTTCTTTCTTTTTTTTTTTTTTTTTTTGGGTCCGGTCGTGGGGCCTGAACTCTGGGCCTGGGCACTGTCCCTCAGCTCTTCAGCTCAAGGCCAGCACTCTACCACTTGAGCCACAACGCCACTTCTGGCTTTTTTTTTTCTGCTTATGTGGTGCTGAGGAATCGAACCCAGGGCCTCAAGCATACAAGGCGAGTGCTCTATCACTGAGCCACCTTCCCAGCCTTGGTTTTGTTTCTTAAAGGCTAAGAGAACTGGAAAGCCAATACCATGACTTTTCCTACATTGTGTTTCTTTTTTTAAATTGACTTAGTAATCTAGATCCTGACTCCTTGTATGCGTGCCTGTCTCACGCACCTGTGCCACTCCTGGAACTTAAACTCGACCTGAGTCTCTCTCTTGAGTTTTTTTCTAATTTCCAACAAGAGTCTCAAAGATTTTTTTTCCTGTGAAGGCTTGCATTGCATCAGGATCCTCAGATTTGTGCCTCCTGAGTGTCTAGGCTTACAGGCATTAGTCACCAGTACTGGGCTAAGATTATTATTTTTTAAATTAAAAAAGGATCTTTCTGAGTTGGTTTGTCTAAAAACTCTTTCTTCAATGTAATAAAGCCAAATACTAACTGCTCAAGGAATGTTTCTTCTAGTATAGTTAAAATACCTATGAATTTTAAACAAAACACATAATTGTGAAGCTTGGATAAAATCCATCCAATCATATATACACAGCAGTTTCACTTTTATATTTCTGTGTGGATCAGTTTCATCCTGATTTAAAGTTTTAAAATATAATACTTGTATTAAACTACTTTGTCTTATTGCTGTTATTTGTCTTTAATTATGCATTGATACTTTTGATTTTGAATGGGAAATATATTTGTACTAATATTTCACCAAATATTTTTGCAGGGACACTTAGTTGATCTGGATGAACCAGCTTCAGGAGCTGGGCAAGAAGCTCTGCTTAAACAAGAGCACACAAAAATCATTCTATTCGAGAGACAAGCAGAAGAGTTCCTCAATGCGGTCTTTTGTAGAAAAGGTTGGTTTCTGTGACAGAGAACGTTTAACCTCTGCTTGTCTTTCTCCTTAATTTCAACGTTGTTTGAAAGTTTCTTTAAAATATTTTTTATTGATAATACACTTTTTTCTCTATGGTCAACTTAAATATAAAGTAATGATAACCTGTTATTCTTTAGCTCTGAAGTGATGAGTTTTAAGTTAACTAGCTCACAATTTATTAGGAAACAAAAGTTTTAAGGTCTCAGGAGTTCTACATGTTGTTAGATAATTTTAAAAAACAGTTACTCTTACAGCTACTAGCAACTTGAAAACAAACTATAAATTTAATTCCAACCTGAAATTTCATTTATACAGAAAATGTAGTTATATCTTACAATTAGATTTGTAAGCATCTTCCACTTGATGTACAGTCTTATTTCACTCAGGCAAAATTAGGTTAGCAAAATTAACTGAAATTAACTTTAGGCAAAATTGCTCATAATGAAACCTTTTTTTTTTCCCTTTTACATTTAATGGGTCATTTAATAACTCCTTCTTCTGCATTCTTTTCACTTCTCTTTATCTGGAAACATATTGTTTTGTATTTCTATAATTCCAGCTACTCAGGAGGCTGAGATCTAGAGGATTATAATTATAAATTAGCTCTACCAAAGAAAACCTGAAATATAGATAAAGCAAAACAGGGCTGGGGCCTTGTCTCCTAGCAGTAACAAAGGTGAGAGTTTGGTGACCTGAGTTCTCCATGTTCTTCCTTCCCCAGTGCAGAAAAGATCTAATAACAGAATCTTGAGATTTAGAAAAATTAAGAAATCAGTTTTTTTTCCTTCTGAATCCATGAAGCATAATTGCTCTCAGCCAAAACCTTCAAGAAATTTCTCTTCATGATCCAGTTTAACATAATAGTTTCTGCTCGCTCTCTTTTTTCTTTTGAGATAACCTTCTTGTGAACTTTTCTGCCCTAGTTGTTCTCAAACTACAATTCCCTCAACTCTTGAATCTTCCCAAGTAGCTATGATTACAGGCATGAGTCACTGTTTATCACTCTTTACTTTTGAGAAATTACTTTTGAAATGGATTTATATGTCCTAGTTATATTTTTCTCTAGTTCCAGTTGTGTATATGACTGTGATAGGTTCGGAAAAAAGAGGTTAATCAATACTTAGCAATCTCCTTAAGGGTGAGAGGAGGATTATGAGTTACTGTGAGTTCAGAGTCAGCCTTGGCCTATAGCAAGACTCTTTCTAAAGACAAATAGGATTGGGGATGTGAGTCAAGTAATAGAGCACCAGTCAAGCAAGCATGAGGCTCTTGAGTTTGAACTCCAGAAAAATCCTTTTCATCAAATAATTGGGCTTCCTTCTCTGCCATAATATACTTGGCAGTCTTGTAAAATTAAAAAGCAAGTTAGGTACAAGTCCACAAAACTCGTCTTTTTTTGGGGGGGCGGGGTCAGTGCTGGTCTTGAACTCAGGGCCTAGGCACTGTCTCTCACGCTCTGTGCTCAAGGCTAACACTGTCACTATCAGCTTTTTCTGGATAATTTATTGCAGATAAGAGTCTCATAGACTTTCTGCCCTGGCTGGCTTTGAACTGTGCTCTTCAGATATCAGCCTCCTGAGTAGCTAGAATTACAGGTATGAGCCACTGGCTCCCAGTGACTACCACCTTTTTTTAAAACTTTATTTTATTTTTCTGGTCTTGGGACCTGAACTCTGGGCCTGGGCGCTGTCCAGCTCTTCAGCTCAAGGCTAGTACTCTACCATTAGAGCCACAGCACCACTTCTGGCCTTTTCTGGTTATGTGGTGCTGAGGAATCAAATCCAGGGCCTCATGTATGCAAGGCAAGCACTCTACCACTGAGCCACCTTCCCAGCCCCATCTCCCATCTTTATAATAGCCAGCAAAAGCTGTGTGCCAGTAGCTCCAGAAGTTCGAGCTATGTGGTTCATACTGTAGAGTACTAGCCTTGAGCAAGAAAAAAAAACAACCCAAACCCAACAATTCAGATATAGCACCAAGGCCCTCACAGGCACACATACAATAAAATAGCCATCAAAAAGCTGGGCTAGAGGTGTGGTTGAAATAGTAGAACACTATCAGAGCAAGCAAAACAACAGAGCAAGCAAGCAAAACCTTGAGTTCAAACCCTAGTACCAGCAAATAATAAGAAAATCCAAAAATGTTTCTGGCAAATTACTGATAATCTTTGAATGTCCTTATTGTTCAGCAGAGCCAGTAATCCCATCTTTACGTGTCGCTCATTCCCATGGAATAAGCTTTTGCTTAATATGATATTTTCAAAAGGAGAGGGCTGGGAAGGTGGCTCAGTGGTAGAGCGCTTGCCTTGCATGCTCAAGACCCTGGGTTCGATTCCTCAGCACCACATAAGCAAACAGAAAAAAGCCGGAAGTGGGGCTGTGGCTCAAGTGGTAGAGTGCTAGCCTTGAGCTGAAGAGCTGAGGGACAGCGCCCAGGCCCAGAGTTCAGGCCCCACGACCGGACCCAAAAAAAAATTAAAAAAAAAAAAAAGGAGATATGAGGTGGTAATGTCATACCAAATTTAGGAATGCAGATTGTTGTATTGTGTTTTCCTTTTTTTCCCTTAGATCCCTAGGCATGTCAAATACTTAGCCATATCTATCTTCTATTTTATTTTATTTTATTTATTTTTTGTTGGTCATGGGGCTTGAACTCTGAGCCGGGGTGCTGTCCCTGAACTTTTCAGCTCAAGGCTAGTTCTACCATTTGAGCCATACCACTACTTCCAGTTTTTTAGTGGTTAACTGGAGATAAGAGTTTCAGAGACTTTGCTGCCCTGCCCGGGCTGGCTTTGAACCGAGATCCTCAGATCTCATCCTCTTGAGTAGCTAGGATTACAGGAGTGAGCCACTGGTGTCTGCTGCCTTCTATCTTAATACTTACTAATACCCTCTGACTTAAATTTCCCTAGTGAGTCTTACTATCACCTTCTTCCTGCCAAAAGTTCCCTAAGTCTCCAAATATATTCAAATGAGTCATTAGTCATATAAAAAGTTGATTGTTTTATTACAGTAACTCACCTTTTATTTGTGCAGGTTCTAGACTTGAACTCAAGGTCTAGGCACTGTCCCTGAGCTTTTTTTTTAAGGTTCTGCTACTTGAGCCACAGCTCCACTTCAGGCTTTTTGGTGGTTAATTGGAGATAAAAGTCTCATGGAGGAAGTGGCGCTGTGGCTCTAGCTCTTGAGCTGAAGAGCGCAGGGACAATGCCCAAGCCCCAGAGTTCAAGCCCCACGACCAAAAAAAAAAAGTCTCATTGACTTTTCCTTCTGCCTGGTCTTGCTTCAGCCTGTGATCTTCAGTTCTCAGCCTCCTCAGTAGCTAGGATTACATGTCTGAACCTGGTAGTATTTTATATTAAAAATGCAAGCTATCTGTTCATTACCAAATAAAATACCTTAACAACTCCTTTCCTTTAGGATATATAATCTTCTGTGTGTCTATTTCTACCAATTGATATATAGATAAGTTGAGAGATAAATAAATAACATAATTATTCTAATATGTTGCTACAGCAGTTTTTATGATCTGAAAAAGAGTATCTTTCCCTAATTTTTGTGGAGGAATCATACTTTGTCCACTCTTTGTTTATGGGACATTATTGAAGTCAGTTAATAAGCAAATTTCCTTCAGATAATTTCTGTCCTTTTTTTCTATTAGTCACATTCCTTGGTTATAGAGGAATAACGTCATAAAGTTTACACATAATGTCTAGGAGAGAAATTCTTGCCTTGGAATTTATTTCAGAGAAGATAGATTTCAAGTGATAGGAATTGTTTGGAATTGTATGTAATATATGATTGTATATTTGTTTATATATGGGCCTGAGATGCTCAGAAAATGAATTATTTCTTGGTGGCCTTGTGCTTTCCCTTGGCTCTTTCACTCAAGGCTGGCCCTCTACAACTTGTCATACCTTACCTTCTGGCTTTTTGCTGGTCGGAGATAAGAATCTGATGGACTTTCTGCCTGGGCAGCCTTCAAACCACAATCTTCAGATCTACTGAGTTACTAAGATTATAGGCTTGAGCTACCAGCCCCTGACTTGATTTACTTATTATAGTGATTTTAAGATTTGGCAGGGGCTGGGAATGTGGCTTAGTGGTAGAGTGCTTGCCTAGCATGGATTAAGCACTGGGTTCAATTCCTCACTATCCCATAAAACAGAAAAAACTGGAAGTGGTGTTGTAGCTCAAGTGGTAGAGTGTTAGTCTTGAGCACAGAGAGGCTCAGAGACAGTGCCCAGGCCCTGAGTTCAAGCCATAGGGTTGGTGGGGGAGGAGGGGAGATTTGGGTGCGGGGAGGGGGGGCGGTTGGGGGGGTTGGGAGAATGCATTTCTGAGCTTCTTGAATTTTCGTCTTTCAGATTAAGGATGCTTTGATTCAGAAGTATAGATTTAGCCTTTTGTATGGAAAGTTTAGAAATTTTGTGTCTTAAATATACCTTTTACAAGCCAGGTTCTGGTAACTCACATTGTAATCCTAGTCACCCAGGAGGCTGAGATTCAAGGATCAAGATTTGAAGCCAGCCCTACCAGGAAAGTCCTTCAGACTCTTATCTCTAATTAACCTCCAAAAAAGTTGAAAGTGAAGCTGTGTGGCCCAAAGCATAGAATAGGCAAAAAAAAAAAAAGCCTAAAAGCTTAGGAATAGTTACCAGACCCTGAGTTCAAGTCCCAGGATCAGCCCACAAAAATAAATAAATATACCTTTTACATATCTTTTTTCAGCTTACTCTGTTGATTAAGTTTAAAAACTTGATGCTATTCTAAAAATTACATTTGTATTTTAAAATATACCAGTGATTAGGGTATGGAATTTACATATCTTTCTATAATTTTATTTTGGTTCTTGTTGCTTTATCTGACTCAGTTGTTTGTTTCTAGAGTCATTGTTATATCAAAGAATGAATGCACTCATCAAACTTTAAAAAGATAATGCTTCCCTAATACTAGTTAACAGACATTCATAAATTACTTT